GAACCCTGTCTCCCCCCCCCAGGGCCTGGTGGCCACTCTGGACCACAGCCCAGAAGTGGAAGTAGGCAGCCTTCTGGACTGTCGCAGGACAAACAAGTTGAGAGCCCAGGAAGAACCCAGCGCTCTCGCAGCTGCAAGTCGGGTTACAGTGGGGAAGAGGACCAGTGGCCCAGGCCATAACCTCGAGCCTCAAAACTACCTTCGGACACAAAGCGGACATTCTCCTCGTGGGCCAGCGTGTAGGTCTCCTGGGTCGCCTCGGTGGATGGGGATGTGGTAGGGGGCCGCCGGCCGTTCACTCGGTTGAACACAAGCCTTGGCCCTGGACTGTGGGAAGAGGGAGGAGGTGATCGGTGACTGTCCGGCCCTGAGGCATACCTTTGCCCCAGTTCCCCAGCAGGGCTCCATGTTCAAAGGCACACAGGCAACCCCCCTCCAACCACCTGCCCCGCCCCCTCCAACCACCTGCCTCCCGCCTCCCATGGACTGGCCAGGCCTCCAACAGCCCAGGTTCTGACTAGAGTTGTGACCAGGTCACTCTGTCCCAACCCCACCGACCAGGTACAGTTCTTGGCCATTTCCCTCTACAGAAGCTTCTCCATCTCATCCATGCCCCAGGGTGGGAAGAACCCAAACAAGAGCCCAATGGCCTCTGCTCCAGGCCCCATAGGGACGAGCCCCAAGGAATGGCACGCGTAGGGGGTGGGCTATTCTTGGGGAGGGTGGGACTGCAGCCCCGGGCAATCCCTGTCAGCCCCAGGCAGGGGCAAGGCTCTTGCTCACAGGGGTGGGGATGCTGAGTGAGGAGATGGCCCCCGGGTGCTAGAGTCGGCCCAGTGGGCATGCTGTGTCCAGGGGGCCGCTGGGCCCATCCTGGCCAGCTGAACCCAGGGCTGCGATGGGCCGTGGAGGGAGCAGGGCCGCACCTAGAGCAGGAAGTGGGAGCCGGGAGTCCTGGGCTGCACGTGCCACTCCGCCAGGCACTCTCCTGCTCGCCATCCCGGGCTCAGGTGCCCCACCGCTGCTCGGACTTCCTCCTCAGCCGAGAGGGGCACTAAAATAAAGAGGAGCGTCTTGAGGGGCACCGGTCCCACCAGCTCTGGCTACAGGGACTCTGCAGGGAGGGGGCTCCTCCCAGTCGGAGCTGCACAAACCAGAGGGTGTGACTTGGACAGCCCCTCACCTGCCCCCCTCCCCCCCACACACACACACACACGACTGCAGACTTCAGGAAAGCTTGCAGGCTGGATACTGAACAAGGAATAAATAAAGGGAAGTACAGCCCTGGCCTTCAAATCACAGGGACCAAGGTGGTGGCTGGCACCAGCCTGGCCACCCCATCCTCTGTGGGCAGTTAGTGTGGTTACATAAAGCCAATACACAGGCCCTCTGGGGGAAAGGGCACGGGCTCCCATGTGCTCCATGGGTGAAGGCCACTCCGTGCCCGCTCCCAGGGACACTGCCAACCGGCAAGCCCCAGCCCACAGCACCCAAGTCTCTGCTTAGCACCAACAGGGGCATCTTCTCACCTAATCCCTTCCGAGGCCCCCCACGTAGACCTCCCACCGGTTTTCAGCCCAGAATCTGGGCTCAAAGGTAGTGACCTGTCCAAGGTCACCTGTCGTGATGGGTAGCAGCATCAGGCTTAACTGCACATCTATCTAACCCCAAAGCCTACAGCTCAGTACAGGTCCCAAGCCCACTCCCCACCTGCCTGCCTGTCTGCCCCTAGACCTCTGGTGGCCACATGCCCCTATTTTATCTTCTTCCCAGAAGTTGATATAGCCTCTCTCCTGCCTGCCTCTGGCTGGGAGGGAGAGCTTGTCAGAGGGTACAGACCCATGTGGCCTGTTCACCACCCAGACCCCTGACCAGCTAGAACCCAAGCCTGTCCATTTGCAGTGGTTCTCAACCTTCTGGTCCTTTAAATCCAGTTCCTCATGTTGTGACCCAACCATAAAATTATTTTCGTTGCTACTTCATAGCTGTAATGTTGCTACTGTTATGAATCGTAACGTAAATATCTGATATGCAGGATGGTCTTAGGCGACCCCTGTGAAAGGGTCGTTCGACCGCCCAAGGGGTCGCGACCCACAGGTTGAGAACCTCTGATTTAGTGGGTCAGACACTGTAAACATCTGCAGAGCACCAGACCTGCAGGATGGATGCAACACCCCCTCCCTCCTGGGCAAGTTGGGGCAAGGATGGGGAGCAGTGAAAAGGTTCTGCAGAGGAAAAAAGCAAGGAAGGTGGGCGGGAAGTCAGGGGAGAGGCATTTTAGAGAATGGCCCCCTGAGAAGGTGCAGTAGAGGTCGGGGCGCCTCCGTGTATAGGACAGCTGGCTGGCTGACCTCCCAGTGGGGGCTCTTTAAGGCCACAGGGACAATAGCGGGCAATTCAGGGGAGGGGGAGTGACCTAGGAGACAAGGGCAAACAGCACAGCCAGCACACGCTCTTACTGCTCATCACTCTGCACCCTGTGTGGGCGGCCCAGCTCCCTCAGGTCCAGCTTGTCAGCACCCTTCTGGCCAGGGACTTGGCAGGCTGCCTGTGCCCACTGGCTCAGGGCACGCTGAAGACGCAGGCGAGGCCTCCTGGGAGTTTT